GGGGGGAGGTGTGTTGTTTCTTGTGCTGGCTGGAATTACCTGAGATCTGATCTGTTTCTGGCCAAATCTACCAAACAGAGTCTTTCATTCAAGGCCAGTTTAAGAAGTGATAGGCCACAAGAGCAGAGAACACAAACCCACCCTCAGTGTGCTCGATTGCACCGACAGTAAACTTTTAATATCAACGTGTAAAAGCATACTGTATTAAAACAATATCTAAAGATGGCAAATACATTGAAATTAATCAACAAAACAAAAGCCTCTTAAATAAACTTCTTAGTGAGACCAAAACACAGGAACATCTTTGATTTCCAAAACTTTCTCAGACTGTAAACTCTTTTTTCCCTTTATATTTGATGATTTTATGCTTGGTGTAGTTTTAGAAACTCACACTGGACAACGCCTCTTTTTTTTTTTTTTTTTTACTGCACACTTCCAGTTTCAGTTAACAGGCTTGGCTCTCTATAACTGCAGGCCGTCTTTCACAATGTGCATTTAATTGCACTTCCTGAAGGTTGTTCCTTCTGGAATCTCTGGCTTTTCCAGACACTGGGTGTTGCTGCTCTCTGTTGCTAAACACAAGTGTCACTGAGGTGTGGCTGCACCGTTGATCCCTGAACATACTTACATAATGAAACCGAGGATCTATCACACCTATCATCCCTGGAAAATTTAATTATGCTGTTCTCGCAATCGTGTTTAATATACTTAAGAGAATTTGCAGAATAAAATAAAATGAATTAAATAAAAATAAAAACAGAAATCAAAAGTTCCTTCCTTGAGAAAAATAAAAGCAAATGAATCAACAGCACAGAAGAAAAAAAGTCTTAATTTAGAAATATGGCATCTTTCACACTGTAAACTTTTTGTCTGTAAGTTGATGACATTATTGTATAATGTCGTCATTTTACAAACCCTGTTGTCTCGTGATGACACAGCCTCAGATGGTCATCATAAACTAATAAAATGAACGATTGCAGTTTTTGTTTGACATGTGAGGACTTTCATCTCATGCGAGGTACAACAAAGGAGCATGTTTAATGCCAGTTAATATCAGTTTGATTAGTTTTATTGTTGTTTTGCATAAAAAAAGCACATAAAATGATGTATAGACTCTAAATCAAAAAGTACTGTCAGTGTTCTGAGTGCCATTTAAACCCTATACTCTTATGACTAACAGATTTAATGCTTTATTTAAAGGCCTCGGCTGCTATCAACATGTTTAAATGCATTAAACATAACGGATCAAAGTGGTGTTAAAGACAACGTAGGCTACCTAGAACAGACCACTGGTGAGAAGTTTAAACTAAATGTGATTCCAAATCTTTACCTGCATATTGAAACAGAGTGAAAAACCTTATTAAGTACTTCTCCTTAGATGACACACGGAACTGATGGGTTTCAAGTGGCAAAAAAAAAGGTAGAGAAAGAAGGAAATGAAAGAAACTATAAATATGAAGCATAGTATTAGTAGTATAAGGCCTGCAATGGTATATATAGGCTATACTGTACAACTGCACATCTGGCAGCAAAGGTGCCCGAAAAAATAGATTAAAATACTTTAATGTTCGAAGACTGTAAAAGCCATGAAAATAACAACAAATGCCTGTTAAATTATTAGATATTTTTAGCTTTTTAAATACAGGAAATCTATGCAATTGCATGCTCACATGTGGTAAATAAAATAAAGTAAATACTATTTATAAAAATACATATTTTTGATTGACTTTAGCCTGTTTTTAGTGTTTTTCAATATGTCTTTTTCTTTTTACATGTCAGCATCTAAGTTATTTTTCCCTGTTATAAAATAATCAACCAATTCTTAATGCTTATGTATACATATTTTTTCTTAAGAGTAACAACCAATAGCTGCGAAATAATGAAAATGTTGCTGATGTAAATACAAAATGTGTAGGTTTTTTGCCTGTTTTTTTAGGATTAACAAGTAAATGATTTTTTTTTTCTCTGTGATTCTACTAGTTAGCTGCAAAACAACAAATTTACAAAAAAATCTGTATAACAGTGAATTGATGAAGCTGCTTAGTTTCTACAGTGTATTTGATGGACCTACAGCCTGATTTAAAACTGAAGGAGGTCGTGAGCGGATACAGACAGCACACACCAGCCTCCTCTCAGCTCTGACCTCTGATGTCAGCAGCAGCTACTTCCGTGTTCACCTGTTCCACCTGTGTCACGGCTGCGCTGTAGCTGCGCCTCCAGCTTTGCCGGTGCACCTGTCGCGTCATGACCGAGGAGCTCCACACCTGCGACTTGACGTCCGCGTCCAGCGACACGGAGGAGACTTTAGAAGCCGTGAAAAGTCGCGTCATGGAGAGCGAGCAGCCGATTTTCTCGGTGTTGGGCGGCGATGTGAAGCCGCTGAAAGTCCCCCCGGTGCCCAACACCTGCGTCGGAGGAGCGAGCTCACCGACCTCCGACAACGAATCCGGGATCTTCTCTGTCGAAAGCGAGCTGTGTGTGGAGCATGAGGCCGAGCTGGACTGGTTCTGCGGCACCGAGCACAAACTCATCTGCTCCCACTGCGCCATCGTGGGCTCCTGCCACGGACACACCGTGACCCCTGTGGCCACCAGAGTTACCGCAGTCAGGGTGAGTGTGGAGCGCCCACCGTGTTCATGCGCAACAGCTGTTTGCGTCTTTTCAGCTGTTCTAGCAAAGCTGTGACACAATATTGTTCATTTGCAACCTGCCGTGTTGGGTTAAAACAGCTCAGGAATGTAGTTTCACTTTATCCTGTCTTCTAACTTCTCTGTTTGCACCACATTTACTTCAAAACATTAATTTCTCTTAAAATAAATGTCCCCACTTCTCATTTATTTCCTGACAGCCAAGCATGAGAAAATCTTTTCACATGTTGTCCAGTCACTCTGATGATGATGATGATGATGATGATGATCAGATGATGATGTCAGTTTTGTGATACTGGGTGATACCATGTGGAAACTCTGCCTCGTATTTGTGTACTTCTTTCTGGGGTGTGTCTCACGCTGCCTGTTCCTTGCTGATTCCTCTGCCAGGTATTTGAAAAGACAGGATTGACTAGTTGTCTTTCCAGTTGATGCTGATGAGTGCGTGTTTGCTTTCTCCTCAACAGAACCAGCTGGTGGATGTGTGTGAGAAAATGCAGCTGCAGGCACTGAGGATTGAAAGGTTTATCGACCAGACGCTGACAGCTAAGGAGCAAAAGCTTCAGGTGAGACTTGTTTGGCCGCTGATCCACACCCACTCAGCTCTCGCACTAATGAGCGAGCAGGCACGGAGCCAGATCAGCCACCGATGCTGAGCCTGTTTCACAAGTGCAGCGTCTGGATGTTTGGCAATGCTCCCTTTTCATGAGGAAATCACATGTGATTTATGGACACGTATGTGCTTCAGGATACCAACTTCTGTTTGAAGTCTCTTCGGAGGCGGCAGCTCAGGATTGTCCTCGTTATTAATTAACCTGAGGGACTGTTTATAATGATTAAGAAGGTTGTTGTGTAGTACAGTCGAAGATGTCCGCTGGGATTCCACTCAAGTGCCATCTTTGCATTGTTTTGTCCACGCAAAGATGTTTTTTAAGCAGAAAAAACTGAACCAACACACACTAACGTGACACATTTGATGAGATTGAACCACTGGATGAGTGAAGAATTCATTTTAGCAACTAAATTGCCTTTTTTTGCACCTAAATAAAATGATTTCCCTGTTACCCAGAAGAGGAAAATCATTGTCCTTAAAAGTAAAAGACAAGAAATATGTTTCTTAAGAATCTGTTATTGTCCATTCATTTTCCCACATTTGAATTACTTGTAGTTTAGTGTGATGTACAGTCGTCCTCAAATGTATTCATACCCTTCCATTAAAGAAAAAATCACAATAGTCACTTAAATAACTAGAAACTGAAAAAAGTAATTATAAACTAAAATTTGCTAAATTATAATTTAGTGAAATAAGACACTGCTTTTAAATTGTGGTGGAAAAAACTGTCTCGGACAAATTAGAGCACTTTGCTGATGAGCAGTAAAATCAAAACACCTGTCAACAGGTGCAGAAGTCTGATTGAGAGTTACAGAAAACACCTGATGACAGTGATTGGCCCAAAGAGTTATTCAACTAAATATTAGTTTCCAGGTCCCATCACGCTTGTTTGCTTGTTTTTAAAAAAATATTTCTGTTGAACCACAATTCAAAGCAATGTCATGATTTTCCTTCATTTTTTATTTATTATATCTTTTGTCAATTTCAACTTATTTCATGAACAGCTGTTTTTTTCCTTCTTTAATGAGAGGGTTTGAAAACATTTGAGGACAACTGTATCAATATGTTACACATGCAGGAGTCTAAACTTAAATTTGTAGCTGATGTAATCGGGTTTTTAACTAATTAATTATGTCAAACAATTCTAATTACTTGTTATGATAAGTGCAGATTTTCTGCAAATTTCTTGTAATCATAACTTTAATCAATATTCAAAACAAGCTGCTGAAGAAAATGAGAGAAAATGTCCAACATAAGCAGTAAAATGAAAAACACTGAAAGTGAATCATAAAGATTCAAGATGAACTTTATTGACCTAGTTGTGGGAAATTTGTCTTGGGCTGTTCACCATGCTGCAGCCAACACAGGCAGACACCAACGGGGAAAATACAGTAAATAGAACAAATAAATACATCAAGGAAAAGCAGAAAAAAAATGAATATCATAGTCTAATTACATGAGTCCAAAAACATGGCACTTTAAAAAAAAAACAACAAAACACAATTACAGCTATTTTACTTATTAATTAGCCTAAATGAAGCTGGAACAAATGAATTTTTAAACCTGTTCAATTGGCAGCGTGGCACTCTGAGCCATCTTCTAGAAACTAACCACTCATACTCAGGGCGCCTTTCAATCGTAAATGCTGGTAAAAGACAATAAAAACTCTGTATTTCCTAGTTTGCTGATTCAAGCGTTTTGTCCCCACCGTACATGCTAAGGTTGCAGAAAAAGCTCCTCTAGTGCACCCGTGTTTATTAACCTGTGCTCACATAGCAGGCGTCTCGCTGCACGTCAGGCTTGTGTAGTTTTCTAGAAGTTAACACAAATCAAGCCAACAATAAAAACAGTAGAGAAGGGAAATAAACACACAAATCAACCGAACCGAGACGTGTTTCTTCTAACAGCAGAGAAAAAACCATTTACGACACAGTGCAAACTGTTATTACGTAAGAGCCCCGTCAGTGAATCCATGCAACTTTTAGTGTGTTTGTTTAAGGCGACACGTGGGAAACCAGAAGTGTTGTTAACAACCTCTCAGCAACAAGTGTTTGCTTGCAGTCACGCTCTGACAGGCAGCCCAGTTTGAAGGGTTATGTGTTCAAAATGTGGGGGGAACTCTTACTTAAAGACTGTTTGTTTTATTTCCTATGAGAAGAAGTTAATCTCAGGTTCTTTATAACCGTGCACTGATTTTTTTATTTAATGAAAATGAAGAAAATGGAGATAAAAGCTACGTCAGATAAAGTCTTTAGTCTTCCTCTGACTTCCCTACAATCCATCAATCTGTTTTTTTTTTATTTCTTTTTATTAGTGCTAAAAGCCTTTTTCACAGCTCAAACACATTTTGATTGTGATAGTAGAACTAACGTTAACAATGGCATCAGCTAAAATTCAGATGATTTATTAATAGTTAAACATTTACTCGTTCAGGCCTTTTGAATGTTGGAATTTGCTGCTTTTTTCAGTTTTGTGTTTTGGTACTTTGAGTAGCCGTAAGTTATGGATTTCTGCTTGTTTAAAATAAATAATTTAAAGTAAGAAGGAGCAATAAGAACGTAATCCTTTATCCCAGTATGTCCAGTTTTATCACAATACCTTTATATATGTTGTAAAAAATGTTGTGACATCACTGTTTAAGGCAATTAAACAAGAAAGTTGAAAAGTTTGGTCGAATCATAGAATCTAACACGCTGATGCAAAACTAAAAAACAGCTTAAATTCCAGTGTTGACATAAAATTGTTTTTGTTCGTTGATTTGCAGCTTCCCCCACATCCAGTGATATTATTAAGACACCGACTTCTGCAGGGGTGTCCAATCCTGGTCTTCGAGGGCCACAGTCCTGCATGTTTCCCTCTTCCAACACACCTGATTCAAATGATCAGCTCATCAAGCTCTGCAGAAGCCTGATAACGATCCTGATCATTTGAATCAGGTGTGTTTGAAGAGGGAAACATCTACAACATGCAGGACTGTGGCCCTCGAAGACCAGGATGGGACACCCCTGGACTGCTGTATCAACAGCACCAACCTCTCAGCAACAAGTGTTTGCTCGCAGTGACACTCTGACAGGCAGCCCAGTTTAAAGGGTTATGTGTTCAAAATGTGGAGAGAACTCTTACTTAAAGGCTGTTTGTTTTATTTCCATGAGAAGAAGTTAATCTCAGGTTCTCGTCTGTAACGGTTGATAAATGGATCCTGCATCACGGTAAAGTTTATGTCTCGTCACATTTAAAGTTGTCAGCTCAGGTTCTGGGAATTTGTAATGGTCACTTTGTAGACTAAAGGATGTCTTTTAATATATATATATATTTTAAATATGTAGTTGCAACAGCGCTTTTTTAATCACCCCAATTAATGGGAACTTAACCTTTGAATGTATAGCACCTTTCAAACTGTAAGGAGTTATTATTATTATTATCATCATCATCTATTAATTTAATTTAATTTAATTTAATTTAAATCTTTTCATAGATCTATTCAACTCAAAGTATTTTACAGATATTCCATTCTGGGCCGTACAGGATCAGAATTCTGATCTGGGCCCAAATCAGAATTCCATTCTGGATCAGAATTCTGATCTGGACCAGATCAGAATCCATAGGGGGAAAAAAAATGAAGATTCCATTCCAGGCCAACCTAGAATAGAATTCAGATCTGGGCCGGCCCAATCCGGAACAGGGCTGGAATCTAATCTGGGCCTTGAGATATGTATAAAAAACAATGAAATTAAAAAATATCGGTTTAAAAATGATTGACTTGAATAAAACTAGACGGTGAGAAAAATCAGTGAGAACAAATCCAACATTTTCAACATTCATACATTAAATGATAAATTAAATAAATAAGAACCAGTAACATATCTGATAAAAGATTTCATCGTTGGAGAAACTTTGAAGAGACAGAAAAAACACTTGTTTTTCACTTTTGCACTTTTCAATTTTAGAGAGTATTGATTATTTCCAGATTGCCAGAAAATCTCATTTTTAACTAAGTTTTTTATTTGTGTTCCTAAATCATTTTTATTTTCTTATTTGTCTACTGTGAAAACTATAGATGAGGCCTCCACACCTCAGTGTACTTAGAATTTAAATAAAGGTTGAATATCATTTAATTGTATTTTATTCCTCCGTCTGTCCTCCGTCAGGCAGCGGCGAGCCAGGCGAGGGAGCAGGTTCTGGCTCAGGTCAACGCTGCCCGCGAAGCCCTGGAGGAGGAGGAGCAGCGCCTCCTGGAGGAGGTGCAGCGGGAGGAGGAGCGGGTGGAGCAGTGCCTCCTCACCCAGAGAGCCCACTGGAACAAGGCGCTGTCGAGTCTGTCGCAAACCCGTTCCCGCCTGGTGCACACGCTGACGCACACTCCAGACGCACAGCTGGTGGTGAGAGACGTTTCACACAAGGACTTGACCGGGTGGAAAATATACAGGATCTAATAAGAGTCATAAATTACTGAAGGTAATCATTTTGCTTCTTGTCTTGTCTTTCAGACCAGCGTCCAGGAGATCGCTGAGAGGTAACACTTTTTATCCCATGACATGTTTGTGCATCCTTGTTGTCTTGCTCAGGACTGACCAGAGTCTCTTTTGTGTTTGTTCAGGGTGGAGGAGGCTGAGGGGGTCGGGGAGCCCTGCGACACAGACATACTCAACCTGAACCCAAACTGCAGTGACAGCAAGCTGCTGAGAGGTCTGTGGGCGGCTGCAGTCCTGCTGGGGCCGAACGGTCAGTAGACTTTCATTCAGCTGCAAGTGATCTTGGAGATTTGTGTGAACGTGACAGATTCAGCAGGAGATGCAAGGTTAACATGGAGTTACATTCATGGTGGTATATAGCATACGTGGTAACATTGAAAATCCAGAAAGTCTGGAGTAAGAAATATTTCAGAGACAAAATGAAGCTGTCCTTTTAATCCATTTATCAAACAGTGGAGGATCTTTTGCTGAAAGACTATAGAAGCCATTTATGTCTATTGTTAGCAGGTAATTTAATATGGATTATTTGGACACAGGGTGTGTATGTAGAGAGCACAGGTGACAGAAAGAGGAAGGCACAGGTAGGGGGAGGGCAGACAGCTCTCACCAGACCAGCATCAGACCAGCACAGATATAAACCAAATTCACCATAGGAAAACTGCTGTATTTTCATTTTTTGCGTATCATTAAATAAACCATCCACTCAAAGGCAGGTATACAGACTGGAAATTCTGTTTTTGGTCTGCGTCGGTTCGCTCTGCTCCACCTGTGCAGTAACGGCAATTAAAGAACATTAAGACATTGAAAAATTGCCATTACAAACTCCCTCTGACAAAAATTTTGTTGACATATGGTCTTTTTTTATATGCTGGAAAACATATCATGAGCAAGATAAGCATCCTACACCATGGATGAGCATCAGCAACTTGAAACTGCAGTGTGTCGATGACAGTCTGAACATCGCTGATTCATACATCCAGGGTTTCATATGTCCAGGAGCCAATCCCATCAGGGCGAGGCTTTCTGTGTTGTTCTTTAGAATCGGTTTGTGGCTCTAACATGTATGGCTGACCTACTCTGATATTACAACAGACCATTGTGTAGCAACGCTTTGCAATGTTTCGGTAGGATTGTAGGTGAGCCGGTGTGCTCGAGCTGCAGCGAGCAGAGCAGCAGTAGGTGGACAAAAAAGGGAGGAGGCATTAGTGTGGCATTGTATTTAAGCAATTTTAACAATTATTTTAATGGAAAATACCTCTAAATATATAACTATGATGGACTGAGAGGAGTTTTCAGGGATTTGAAGTAAAAGTACAAATGGTGTAAAGTAAAAATGTAATTTTAACAAAGGAACAGAAGTATTGCTGCAGTATTTATTCATTGTTATTGATGAATACAACATGTTGTTGTTTTAGCTGGTTGAGGTCATCCTAATGTGAGCCCATTATTCTAAATTATGTAGTGCTTAACAAATTCAATTCAATTCAATTTTATTTGTATAATGCAGTTTACAACATGTTATCACACAGCGCTTAACAAAGTAAGGTATAGACCTTACAAGTTTAAACAGAGAACCCAACAAAGTAGCCTTTGGACATCCTCTGAGCAAGCGGTTGGGGAAGAAAAACCTCAGGCAGAACCAGGTTCAGGGAAGACGGCCATCTGCCTCGACCAGTTGGGTGAAAATGGGGATGAGGGGGAGTGGGGAAAACAGGATAGCAGATGGAGAGCAAGCAATAGAACGGAACAATAAATATGACAAGTAGGGGTCCTCGGACCCTAAATATAAGTATTATGGGGGTCGGTGAGGCCAGCGGCTGCAGGTCAGGGACGTGAAGCTTCAGATCCAGAGACAGGGAGAAATGTATTATACCACCTGTCTAATTTGTTAAGCACTATATATGTATATAAAAATATGGACCATCCAGCATCATGACCTGCTTTAATGAGGACTGAGCTCTCAATGTTTTACCGTTTTGAACAGGAATGAGGAATATCAAACTGAATTCATCTTTTTATATCCAAATTTGAGCTTCTGAGCTCACTGGGCTTCTCCGAGAAGTTGAATCAAGCACAATGTTCAACCACTAAAAATTATTTTTCTGTTCAGGAATGCATGTAATTAACTATAATTTGACATCTTAATCAAGAAATAGTAATGAGCTTTATTATTTTTCCTTTTTTTGTTTTGTTTTTCTAAAACAGGTAATTTTAAAATTCATGGATATCAATAATAATAATTATATTTTAGCATTAAAAACATCATTTTGGTTAAAGAGCTTCTACATGCTGGTGTATTAACCATTACAGAAACACACTAAATGATTTAGGTTATTACCAGGGCTGTTACTTTAGGGCAGCTGTGGCATAAACCTGACACTGGGTGGTAGTCTAACACATTTGTTGAGTGCTGTATATATCAGTTGTGCCGTCACATCATTATCGTGGACCTAAAAGTACCTAAAACTACATTTCTGCTGCACTACTCCACAATATATCCCTCTAAACTGTACGGAAGTCCAGTTGTTGTGTGACTATGCACACTTTCTTTCTACTTCCTGCAGGATGGTGGTAACTCTAGAAAAATGTTGCGCACATTATCACACATTTAACTACAAAGACGAGATAAAGTCCTGATGGAGTTTGTCGGTAGAAGCAGTTAACGTGTTTGTTTTGACAGAAGAAGGGGTTGAAAAGGATGTAAATGTGGGAGAAAAGTGAGAGAAGTGACATAATGGGTACAAAAAAACAAGAAATATGTCACTGAAATCTGGGTGGTGGACAAGCGTGATGTTGTAATTGGGAAGCAGATGGCTGGACATCCTGCTGCAAACATATTCCTGTTTTACAGTCATTATATAATATGGTCATCTGATTTTCCTTATTGTGTGTAAAGCTGCTATTCTGGTGGATTTAGTGTATCCTGTCGTGTATCTGTTGCTCTTCCTGGGCTTTCTTTCTTCTTTTTTCATTAAAGGGGTTTTGTGGGAGTGTTTTAGGGTCTCAGAACAGAAGATGAATGCTCTACAGATTGTAAGATGCTGATTTTTTGATTTAGCTCTGTGTTAATAAAATTGACTTGACTTGAAACGGGGCAGCAGGAAGGGAACAGCTCACATGTTCATTTTTAATATGTCAGGTTGAATTAAAAAACATGTTGAAAATATCTCCAAACAGTAATCCATCCTGTTCCTTCTCTCCACAGCTTATGGATCATCGTATTTAAAGTTTGACGAGCGCACAGTGAGCCCTCTCCTGTCCCTGTCTGAAGACTTCTGCACTTTGACCTTCCTCCGCAAAAAACCCCGCCAGTCTCCCGCCTACGACCCGGCTCGATTCGACTCCTGGCCCAACGCCCTCGGCTCTCTGTCCATGTCCTCCGGCACCCACAGCTGGGTGGTGGACGTCGGCCAGAGCGCCGCCTTCAAGGTGGGGGTCTGCTACGCCTCTCTGGAGCGCAAAGGCTCTGGGAACGAGGCCCGGCTGGGCTACAACGGTCAGTCCTGGGTGCTGTCCCACTACGACGGAGACTACTCATTCTGCCACGCGGGGAGGAAGGTGCCGCTGCAGGTGGCGAGGAGGCCTCAGAGGATCGGCCTGCTGCTCGACTGGCCCAGTCAGACGCTGATGTTCTACGAGCCGGAGTCCTGCGCTGTGCTGTACTCAGTCACGCAGCACTTCAGCGCCGCGCTGCTGCCGGCGTGTGCCGTGACGGACCGCAGCATCACCATCCTGCACTGACGGATCAGGAACACTAAAGGAGCTCAAACATGTGAAGAAACAAAAAGAAGGACTTCCTCTAATGTAAATATGATCAGCAGTTAAAGATGAGCTGCTCCATCTGTGCAATAATGAAAACTCCACATCACTGTCTATTTATTCACTTTGCTGCAGTAGCTGCTCGTTCTTTTATTTTTGTGTTTTTAATAATTTAATAGGTTTAAAATCCTTTATCTGTTGATCATATGACACAGTAGTGCCCTAATATTAGCTATTTTGACTGACAAGAGTTTAGTTTTAGTTTTTTTTTTACGAAGAAGATTTTTGTATGTAACACCAAATGTAGAAGGAGTCGGATGAGTGGAATGAAGCTTCCATAAGACTGTAGAAAACATTATGACACTGGTTGATCCAGGATTGTTTTAAATGTCATGTGGCAAAGAGAAACTGAAATCATTTTGTATTTTTATAATTTTATATGCTGAGTAAAGCAGTTAGTACAAGTTGACTTTTATTTTACTGACACTGCTGTATGCAATTCATTGTGTTACAAATTCCCCTAAATGCTCCCAGAAAAGCTTTGATTTCAACCACAGGAAAGGTTTTGTGCAGCTGACAGGGATGCAGCAATCAAGTACAGTAGAGCACAGTAAGCTACAGATTCAGTCCAGATGTGTAGAGTTGTGGTAAACTCTGAAAGACAGGAAACTGTTTCTTCAATTAGAAACATAAAGGGCATAAAAAATGTGAAGAAATCTTCCAGTGTAATTGCAGCATTGTGGTCTGCAACTTTTAAAACTTTTTAAATCTAATGTTATTGCATTAAAAAGTAGCGGAGAGGGCTAGCAGTCTAAGAAGCTGAAGAAGTGATCAGATGCCCATCAAGTGTGAAAGAGGCTGGCTGTCAGTGATACTTCTTAGTACATCTAATTTCATTTCCTAGGGAAACCACTAGAGGGCAGCAATGTCAAGCCATCACAGCCAACCCCATAACCAGGAGACTGGAAAGCACCTCCCTTTTATGTTGCTTCTCAGGAAATCCCTTCATCCAT